CTATGTTATCCAGGCTGGACCTGAATTCCTAGGCTCAAGTGATCCTCCCACCGCAGTTTCCCAAGTGGCTGAGACTATAGGTACACACACCACCTTGTCCAGCATTAACAGGGTAGGTTAGGAGAACGGTAAGAGTTCATGAGATGGGCTGACTGCCATAAATTTTTCATCAGAGCCTCACATTACAGCTACCAAAGGCATTTCATTATTCTTGTCACAGTATTATTGAAAGAAAGTAGATTTCCACCTCTATCAAAAGTGAACACTGCTCTATTATTTTAAAAAATATAGGCATGGATGGCCAGGCGCAGTGGCTCACGCCTATAATCCCAGCACTTTGGGAGGCCGAGGTGAGAGGACTGCCTGAGCTCACGGGTTCGAGACCAGATCAGGCAACTTGGCAAGACCTCACCTCTACAATAAAACCCAAAAATTAGCCGGGCACGGTGGTATGCATCTATAGTTCCAGCTACTTGGAGGGCTGAGGTGGAAGGATCGCCTAAGCCCAGCAGGTCAAGGCTGCAGTGGCTGTGAGCATGCCACTGCACTCCAGCCTGGGTGAGAGTGAGACACCAACTCAAAGGGAAAAAAAATATATATATATATATATATATGGAACAATAAACTGGTAGGAATTAATTTTGGGGTGTGAACAACATATCTAGCAATTTAGGTAGAAGGAATATTAAAGAAAGATGAGAAAAATATGTAAACATTATTCTTTAGTATCCCCTCTATCCTTCATAAAACACTATCAATTGCTAGGTATATTGTGCATACTCAAAAATTCTTATCAGATTATCAGTGACTTCTGCTAAAGATATATAAGCAACAGATGCTTGAAAGTGAAAACATCAAAATGCCAAGTGCTACTGTATCTTAATCAAGATACTGTGTTTATAAGAGCTTCTGTGCTAATATTTGGCAAATACTGCCAATTATTTCATCTCAATTTAAGTACTCAATTATTCACTCACTTATAACTTTGAAGGGAAAAAAAATAAACTACAAATTATTGGCCCACAGTTGCAAATTTAAAACAAAGCTGCTTTGCTAGAAGCAAAAAAACCTGATGTTACAAGCATGTCAGCAACATTTGTGAGCATGTCGCTGCTTTTACTGTTATACCATGTCATAAACACACACATACACTGATCCACTGATCTCTGACATCTAAGAGTTTACATTCCTATGGCAGTATAATATACATATTGTCAAAAACACTCCTTTTATTCACCATACACAATAGCAAATACTATATACAGGCCCAAGGACCCAGAGTGCCAAGATTGAACCAACTGGCACTGTGAAAGAGCCCATCTCTAAGATACGAAAATACCTCATTCTAAGGGAATGTTTGACAGAATTACCTGCAACAAGAGAGAGAGTGTTACATTTTTAAAACAGTAAGTTAAGAGAACATGAAATTTAGTCAGCAGAAGCAGTCAGCACTGAAAGAAAGTGGGGAGGCAAGAGCTGGGCCTCACTTGTCTGTAGTCACGAACTTCTCTTCATGATATAAAGTTCTATGGAATAACTTTGTTACGTACATTTCAATTCTTAACCGTAATTAACATTCAAGGTAACAAATAGAAAATAGAAAGGTTTATAAAAATTACTTTGTACTCTCTCCCCAGTTCTTAGAATCCACTAAATCACCTGAATGCATAGCAGACATAATCTTTTTTGTTTTTGTTTTTGAGTTGGAGTCTCACTCTGTTGCCCAGGATGGGGTACAGTAGCATGTTCACGGCCACTGTAGTCTCAACCTGCTGGGCTCAGGCGATTCTTCCGCCTCAGCCCTCCAAGTAGCTGAAACTAGAGGCACACACCACGCCTGGCTAATTTTTAAATTTATTGTAGAGATGAGGTCTTGTCAAGTTGCCCAGGCTGGTCTCGAACCTGTGGGGTCAGGCAATCCTCTCACCTTGGCCTCCCAAAGTGCTGGGGGTATAGGCGTGAGCCACCGTGCGGGTCAGCAGACATAATCTTTTGATCAACACTGGAGAGTGATGACTTATAGAAAGTAAAGCCTACAAATGGCTCGTAATTTTCCATTTTCATACAATCCTAAACGTAAGATTAACATAAATATTCATGTAAGTTTTGAGACTTCAAAATGAGAAACACAAGTTATTTGAAAATTTTATATGCTGAAACTTTCATTTAAAAAGTCTACCTTAGAGCCAGGCTTGGTGGCTCAGACTGTAATCCCGCGCTTTGGGAGGCTGAGGTGAGTGGATTGCCTGAGCCCGCGGGTTCGAGACCCACCAGGGCAACTTGGCGAGACCTCATCAATAAATCAAAAAATTAGCCGGGCATGGTAGCGCACGCCTGTAGTTCCAGCTACTTGGAAGGTTGAGGTGGAAGGACCGCCGGAGCCCAGCAAGTCGAGGCTGCGATGGCCAGGAGCGGCCACTGCACTCCAGTCTGGGCGACAGAGTAAGACTCCAACTCAAAAAAAAAAAGTTTTTTTTTAAAGTCTACATTAGGCCATGCATGGTGGTTCAAACCTGTAATCTCAGCACTTTGGGAGCCCAGGAGTTCAAGACCAGCCTAGGCAACATAGCAGGATCTCGTTTCTACAAAAATGAAAAAATAAGCTGGGCATGGCGACAGGTGCTTATAGTCCCAGCTACTTGGCAGGCTGAGGTGGAAGGACTACTTGAGCCTGGAGTTGAGGCTGTGGTGAGTCGTCCTGAGCGTGCCACTGTACTCCAGTCTGGGAGACAGAATGAGACTCTGACTCAAAATAAATAAATGATTAAATAAAAAAAAAAAGCCGGGCTCGGTGCCTCAGTCTGTAATTCCAGCATTTTGGGAGGCCGAGGTGAGTAGATTGCCTGAGCCCTCGGGTTTGAGAACCGCCTGGGCAACTTGGTGAGACCTCATCTCTACAATAAATCAAAAATTAGCTGGGTGTGGTAGTGCACGCCTGTAGTTCCAGCTACTTGGAAGGCTGAGCCGGAAGGATCGCTGGAACCCAGCAGGTGGAGGCTGCAGTGGCTGGGAGCGGTCACTGCACTCCAGTCTGAGTGACAGAGTGAGACTCCAACTCAAAAAAAAAAAAAAAAACAGTCGGCCAGGCACCGTGGCTGAAACCTGTAATCTCAGCACTCTGGGAGGCCGAGGTGAGAGGACTGCCTGATCCCAGGGGCTCAAGACCAGCCTGGGCAACTTGGCAGGACCTCATATTTACAATAAACCAACAAAAATTAGCTGGGCGTGATGGTGTACACTTGTATTTCCAGTTATTTGGAATGCTGAGGTGGAAGAATGACCTGATCCCAGCAGATCAAGGCTGTGGTGGCCATGAGCGTGTGACTGCACTCCAGCCTAGGTGACAGACTCCAAACAAAAAAAAGGAAAAAAAGTCTACATTAATAACCAAAGACAATGGTATAAATCATCCCACAATAAGAAGATTGCAAAATAGCTAAAGGCTCAATCAGAGAATCATGGTAAACATAAAGAACTTATTTTCTAGTTAGGCAATTTTGAAGCAAGCAATCTACTCAAATACTTCCTGAGGTTTAAAAAGTAGCTAGTATTAAACCTTCAAATACATGACATGTAATCACCATCCTTGCCAGCCCCACTGGTCTCCTGGGCAGAACAGGTGAAAGTCTGGGTGGGGACAGAACAAACCATTAAGCATCCAGTCAAACATCTAAATATCTGATACTAATTTTGTCAGAATTTGCTACCATAAACCAGGAAACCAGGTGACACATTTTCCCACGTTCTTAGAAAGAAGAAAAATGTAAATTCCCTATTCCAAGATAGAATAGGAAAAAAATTAACAAAAAATGTTAGTCAAGTGAGAGAGAACTGGTTGCAAATTCTAAGACAAACTTTATTGCTACAAATTTTTGAAGATTATTTACTTAGTAAATATACATTTTAAAATAAAACATAAAAACAACTGGCAAAACATTTTCGGTCAATGGATTACAAAAATCAACAGGGCTCATCTGTCACCTAACTATGCCCATTTTCTGATAGTTACAGCTGAAAAATTCTAGGAAAGCCACTTGAAGTGTATAGTTTTTAAGCTGGCATTCCATATTACAAGCAGGTAAAGGATACTGGACACACATGGTACCTCATGCCTGCAATCCCAACACTTTGGGAGGCCGAGGCAGGAGAAATGCTTGAGCCCAGGAGTTCAAGACCAGCCTAGGAAACATAGTGAGACCTTATCTTTACAAAAAATACAAAAATTAGCCAGGCATGGTAGCACGTGCCTGTAGTCCCAGCTACTCAGGAGGCTCAGAAGGAAGGACTGCTTGAGACCAGGTGAAGGCTGTGATGATCCAAGATTGTACCACTGCACTCCAGCCTGGGCAACAGAGTGATACTCTGTCTTAAACCAAAAAAAAGAATATTCTAGTAGTATTCCCTATAAAGTTCACATGGCTTTTACCACAGACTACATATAAATTGGGCACTCAAGAAGCAGTTGATATAATAAGTGATAAGTTAATTCCAATTATGTTAAACCAACTCTAAAAATGATTTCTAATTGTCCAAATACACTAACATCCCATATTAAATACAATCCAACATTTGAGCATTTTTGCTCTCAAAAAAACTGATTGAAATATACACCCTTTGAGCAATCACTTTAACAAAACTGTGAAATTCAGATTTCTTTTTTTTTTTTTGAGTTGGAGTCTCACTCGGTCACCCAGACTGGAGTGCAGTGGCCGCTCCCGGCTACTGCAGCCTCGACCTGCTGGGCTCCAGCGATCCTTCCGCCTCAGCCTTCCGAGTAGCTGGAATTACAGGCGTGTGCTACCACACCCGGCTAATTTTTTGATTTTATTGTAGAGATGAGGTCTCGCCAAGTTGCCTGGGCGGGTCTTGAACCTGCGGGCTCAGGCAAACCAGAAATTCAGATTTCACTGAAAGCCATTTATGATGTGTAAGTCATGCTAAAGTCAAAGCACTGCTAACAACCAAACTGATATAATACTTGAATTCATTAAATGAACCTCAAATTAAAAAATTTAATAATATGTATTACAATCTCCTCCTAATATATGTAACATGTGTAGTAAAGATTTTTACTAATTTTCAATCTTTAAGATCAACAGCCTTAAACTTTGATTGCATTTTTAAAGTCTCCACAATATCTTTCAGATAATCTTCATCTTTTAAACATAATTCTCTTTCCATTTGATATAATGTATTAGTTGCCAAAATGTTTCTTTTTGTCTTCACATCAGCAAGAATATCAGTAAGAAGATGATTTAACTTATTCAGCTGAAATTCAACTTGATGAAATTGTTCCATTAACTCCTAAAAGAAGAAAATAATTCAAGAACTTTACTCTTAATACCAAGTATAAGCTTAAAATGCAATTTACAGGATTAAGACTCTAAATAATTTAATAATGTCCCACAGTTTTAGCAATAAACTTCAATTAAAAATCTGTAATAGGTTTAATATAAATTCTAAATAAGACTAATTACAATAACTTCTGATAGGTAATTTAAAGTGATTCACAGCAAACTCTTCTTGAAGAGTACTTGATATGTAAACTGTTCTGTGTACTTATATATTCAACAAATATTACTGAATACCTACCATGTGCCAAGCACTGTTTTAGAAGCTACAGATACAAATATGAACAAAATCTCTCTCATGGAGCTTATATAATTCTGCTTAATCAATCAAACCTAGTTTTAGTTTAATCTCTGATTACTCTAGACATAAAAAGTACAGAGAAAGCTTTAGTATAAAGACCAATAAAGTGCTGGTTGCATTGGCCACGCTTATAATCCCAGCACTTTCGGAGGCAGAGGTGAGAGGACTGTCTGAGCCCAGGGGTTCAGCCTGGGCAACTTGGCAAGACCTTGTCTCTACAATAAATTTAAAAATTAGTCAGGTGTGGTGGCATGTGACTGTAGTTCCAGCTACTTAGAAGGCTGAGGCAGAAAGATCGCCTGAGCCCAGTGGGTCAAGGCTGTGGTGGCCATGAGCTTGCCACTGCACTCCAGCCTGAGCAACAGATTGAGACTCCAACTCAAAATAAATAAATAAAAGGCCAATAAAAAAGAATTACCTCAAAAGTCTTCTTTAAAAAAAAAATTAAATCAATCAATAAATAAAACTTCCTTTTTTCTTTCTTTTTTTTTTTTTGAGTTGGAGTCTCACTCTGTCACCCAGACTAGAGTGCAGTGGAGTCCACTTGACCTGCTGGGCTCCAGCGATCCTTCTATCTCAGCCTTCCAAGTAGCTGGAATTACAGGCATGTGCTACCACGCCCGGCTGATTTTTTTGATTTATTGTAGAGATGAGGTCTCGCCAAGTTGCCCAGGCGGGTCTTGAACCTGCGGGCTCAGGCAATTCACTCACCTCAGCCTCCCAAAGCGCAGGATTACAGGCTGAGCCACCAAGCCCGGCTAAAACCTCCTTTTTTCATGTTCTTCACATTCAACAAAAACCATCCTGACTTACCATGTAATCCTCCTGGCTCAAGAACCTAGGCATGCTGTACTCTTTCATTTAGAAAATTTAAATTCCTCACTTTCTAGCATTTAAACAAGACTATTAATTTTCCATAGGTTTCTTTTTTCTTTTTTTGAGTTGGAGTCTCACTCTGTCATCCAGGCTGGAGTCCAGTGGCATACTCACAGTCACTGTAGCCTCGACCTGCTGGGCTCAGGCAATCCTTCTGCCTCAGTCTTCCAAGTAGCGGGAACTACAGGCACGTGCCCCCATGCCTGGCTAATTTTTTAAAATTTATTTTAGAGATGAGGTCTTGCCAAGTTGCCCAGGCTGGTCTCGAACCCGTGGGCTCAGGCAATCCTTTTATCTCGGCCTCCCAAAGTGCTGGGATTATAGGCATGAGCTACCATGCCCAGCCAATTTTCCATAGCTTTCTTTTTTTCTTTTCTTTTTTTTTTTGAGTTGGAGTCTCACTCTGTCGCCCAGGCTGGAGTGCAGTGGCCG